AAGGGGGACTATAGATTTCCAGGGGGTTCTATAACCCCAATATAACCCCAATATTATTTGAGTATCTCCGACGGCACTCCCAGGAGCTGGGACACGGCTCGAAGTACCGTATGATGCATAGAATATGGAGTATATTATTGGGTTTTATAGGGAATAATGGAAAAGAACATGGAAACTACTATGTTATAGTAGGGTATATATATGGGGGCTTATACCCCAATAATGGAGAATCAAATGGAAAAGAAAATGGAAAATGAAATGGAAACTGGGGTTATATAGGGGTTATATTGGGGGTATAATATTTAGATAGATAGTGACAGTAAACATAACTTGCGTCAAGACGTTGATTTCTCTTGCTGGCTCGCTTTTTTGTGCAGGTCTCTCTGAAGCGCTGGTTGCACTTCTGCATGGCTCCGGGACATTGTCAAGGACTTTGCAAAGCCTGCTACCCAAGTTCCCAAAAATCTCAACTACTCCTTGACTGGGGACCTTTGGACGATATGCAAAAAAGATAGCCATGCAAGAACACATGGCAGCGCAGATATGCAGTGGAATCCCATTTTTCAGCCATACAATCCATGCTAAACACAAAGGTTGGAGAGGTCGGGCCAGGGATATCAGATCCTGTGCTCTAGACCCATGCCTCCAGGAAGACATGAACCAAGACTACCGCAACTACTCGTCCAGATGCGAGGGCGCTTTCACATCTACCAGTCTAGAATCTGGCATCAACAATGCAGCGGTGCCAGCTCAGGAGGCAAGAAGTACAATGTTGAAGCAGCGCATAAACGAATTAAAGCAAAGCCCTCCGCGCAGAACCTTCGCCAATCCTTGTATATGTATCAATCTAGCCCTTGAGCAAGCGCATTCATTTGCACGTCCTTGACTGCTTGCAGCGATGCAGTCACGTGGACTTCCAACCGTGTCTGGTGCTTCTGTGGGGTTGATACAACCCAGGCTTTTGGCATCGGAATGTGTCATACCACAAGTATGGCTGTTTCTTCAGTCTTCAACTGTAAGTTTAGGACACAAAGTTGTCCTGGCAGTCACAACATACACGGTTGGCCTGTCCGAGAGGTACTTGCCAGTGCTCTGGGTGCAGATCTCAGGACTCTAGGAGCCTCAATAATCACCAATATGTTTTGAAGGCCCACAGGGCACCCTATACCTCAGGTGGACCCCCCACCCAGTAATAGTACTGACTACAAGGGATAATAGGGATTATATTAGGGTCCTGTTATATTCTTATTGTACCACTTTTCCAGGGTGGGGGTTCCTCCTAACCTATACCATAGTAAGCTCAGACCACAGTGTTGAGAAATTATGCCTCTAAACCCCTGTATAAACCTCAGTAGCTGAGGCATCTCTGCCTCAGGCTTCCCACAGCTCATGCGTCAGCTTTCTACAGAGATTTCTCAAAACAGTGGCACCTGTGTACTCCTGGGGATACATGGGGGCTTGCAACAGTAGAATTCTTTTTTGGGGGACAGGCCCAATCAGGACTATAGCATCTTAGGGGTATAAGAGGGGGAGGGACCCCGTCTCTGAAATACCCACATGTAAAAGTTTTTTTGGAGCAACGGCCATACGTTGCTTTAGCCTTTAATGCGATCCACCTCCAAGTCCTGGCGAGCGCTTCAAAGACATGCCACACATCCCAGAAGCGTAACTGCAGGTTGCCACCTGTGGGGCTACAATTGATCTGAGGGATTTGGGGCCTTGTTTCTGGGACGCCCATACTGAGGACTCTATGCTGCTTGGGTTTTTTGGTGGCAGATAAGGGGGTTGAGAAATACATAAGGCTGCTTGCGCTGAGCCTCATGATTCTGGGATTGAATTCTGTGAGCGCGTCACGCAAACAATTTCAACCCTTGGAATAATGAGGGCATATGTTTGTATCTCTCAGTGCCTTGACCCTTCCTCTCTGCTCTAGCGCCCTTGCCCTTAAGGATGCCGAGAATCACAGTCCACATGCTCAGCAGGGCCCTGCCTGGCCGCTATTCTGCTGAAGGCGTCCCTGAATCCTGACGAATTCTAGATGAATCAAGTACCCTCCTCAAGACTAACATGAAATCCCAAATAAGGCCCTGTAAAGACTGCTGTCTTACTGAAAGCAGAGGACCTTTGTGCAGTATAGGGTGACCTGGCGACATCACACTGACAATTGATCTAAGGGCTGCTCCTCGATGCACTCTATGGCACAATCCTCACAGAGCCCCTCACAAGCCCTGCATTACAGATCGAAGTTGAGCCTGGCCGAAACCTCTGCAAAAGTCCTAACTCCTACCTGAAACCCTACACCCTGCATACCAAACCCAGAACCCCAGACCCTGAACCACAAACCCCGAAACACTGGAACTTTATAACCTCTGAACAGGAAGCTGGCAAGTGCCTCAAGGTGACCGTGGGGAACCGGCCTCAATGAAGTCATGCTCACGACTGGCTTATATTCCTCGCTTGGGGTTTGAATGTAAACAGCTAAACAGAATCTCCGGCAACGGCCTACTTGAGGTGGTGCGTTTGCGGTTGTAGGGTTTAGGTGTTAGCACTGCGCGAAATGCCAAACCTCCAAATTTCAGGATGCAACAGTGGATTGCCACGCGGACCCGAGGTCGAAACCCTTCAATGCTCGGAACGCCAACCTGAGACCCTAGCAAGCCGCAAAACGGATTTGAATAGTAGATCCTTGTGTTCCAACACCTATGGGATCGAAAGTATATAGCGCTGTGACCAATTTGTTGCTCTTACTTGCGGTTCGTAAAGGTCAAGGGTTACTACCACTTTCGGAGACGCACAAGGACTACAATCAAGGCAGGTAGACTCAAAATGGCCGCGTCGCGTCCACTTCCAGCAGGCTTCCAAGAGAAGACTTTCACAATTCTAGCTGACCTTAGCCTTAAACCCAGTGGCCCTAAACCCTAAACCCCAAACCCTAAACCCCCCAAACACAGGACCCCAAGCCCTAAAGCCTAATCCTAAGCCCGAACCCTAAGACCTAAGAACTCTTGGGGGACAAGAAAAGTTTCAGGCATGAACTGTCAGGCAAAGCCCCACTCTCGCCAAACTTTTTCACCGCAACCTCCGAGTCCTTGAGCCCTGTTGTTAGTACAGGCCCTGGTGTTTCTAGAATGCGAGATTAGAGATCATCATTCTTGCCAGTATTGTTACCACCGCGATTCTTGTTATCCTTGTCCTAAACCCTATAAGCCCTAAACCCCATGTTTCATGCACGCCTTTCTGCTGAGCCCCTAGCATCCGCAGACAAGGCTCTGCCGGCATCATGGTAGATAGCCTGCAGCTCTCGCAGTTCAGGGTGTTGAGCATGCACAAATACAAGAGGGCGAGGTATTGAAGACACAGGTCCCTTGTTTCAGCAAAGGTGGAGCCCGATTGTCAAGGGCCGTTCATAACCTCTTCACAATGACAAACGAATCCGCACCCTTCGATGTGAAGGAGGTCTTCGAGCATACTTGGTCTACTATCGGGAAGATTTAATGTTAGGGAGAGCGTTGCGTAATATTCGGGGGAAGGAGATAATATCAAGGACTCACCCTGAACACGAGAGAGAAGACTAAAGAGTCCAAATAGTTCCTTATTGAGGGGGATTGAAGGATGTAATTCTACATTCCTTGCTGACGTGTAGCGTGACAGAACTTAAAGAATATGTCCAACCATGAGTCAACAACCGGCCGTATAATAGCAGCTTGTGACTGTTGACCCTCCAAACTCGCTGGTTTCCTCTATGGTACTTTGTCAAACTCAGGTCCGTAAAGGACCCTTGGGGTACGTAGGGACTACCAGGGATTCTAGATAGGCGTGCCTACCAAGGATTCGAAACGTGATTGTGACAAACTCTGACATCAGGTCTGCGTACTGAGGAACACTAATTCGACAATGAAAATAAAAGCCATTCCTACTATGACCCGTAATTACAAGTGCCCGGAAGGACCAGAAGCCAAAATCTGCATTTGTCTGCATGTGCTCTCACTTGCTTTGATAACCGGCTTTGTGACGTGCTAGAAGCCCAGAAACTGTAGCAGGATTAAGTATCTCCCTATCTCAGGACTCCAAGAAAAGGATGAAGTAGCATAAATCATCCCATTTCCATGTCCCAGCTTTCTAGCCTTCACTCCTTGAACCCAAAATGGTGTTAGGGTTTAGGGTTCAGGGTGTACCACAAATCCCTAAACCTCAAATCCAATGCCTCGCAGATGGGAGTCAGCTCGATGCTGCGACGAAAGGGATCCTCTGCCAGTACCGAAGATGTAACAATAATAATAATAATATTAATACTAGTACTAGTATTAATAATAATAACAGTAATAATAGAAATAACAATAGTAGTAGTAATAGTAATACTCATATTAATAGTAGTAATAAGTGTAGCAATAAATCATAATAACAATAATAGTACTAGTAACAGTAATGCTAGGCGGTAGGGTTGTAGGTTGGACTTGGGCTTGGGCGTGAGCGTTGGCTAGAGCCCGCGGGTTTAAGGGCTCGGGGCTCCTGATGTTTGTGGTGTGACATGCGTGGTGGCTAAGGGCTTCAGATTGAGTGTCGTACACACCTTAGGGTTTCGGGTTTAGAGTTTAGGGGAGTGATGCCCACTGTTTCACACATGATCTTGACGTCCGACGCCTCATTCAAACTAATTACTTGTTTCAGCTCGTACACAATCACGTGCTGCGGGCGCACTTGCAACCAGACCCCCTCAACTCTTGAGTGGTTTGCACAAGCCCGGGTTTACATCCTAACGACAAGTCAGCGACACAGCTACCATCTGTTTAATCAACACAAAGGTTCCAAAACGTAGGTTTCAAAACTTATGTTGCAGTGCCGGTTTTAGGGTACTTGACACGACAATGGTTTCAAAGTAGGCCGTGAAATTGTGGGATCCGGAATCGTTAACCTAGGCAAGGCAGAAAGTATGCTTCTGGCACATCCCTTCTCCGTCACTCTGCTTCGGGTTTCGCAGCTTCTTTTCTCTCTCACTTCGCCAACTGCTTGCACTCCTCCAAGCCTGGTGCTAGCTGGTGGCCGACGAGTGCGCTGGGATCATACGTAAGCGCCTGCTCTAGAATCAGTGCACCCTTCTCAACGCTCTCCAATGGCCCACAGAACGTATACGCAATACGCAGCAACCACGCGGCCACAAGTTCCTTTGGCGCAGGCGGCTCGTCGTGCGCCAGAGCCATCGCCTTGTCTTTTGCCGCGTCCATTTGTTCAAGAGCCTCCGCACCTGCACCCGTCATTGCAAGGATTTCGCCCATGTAGAAATATGGCCTCAGATCCCGCGGCGCCACTTCGAGCATCTTCCTTGCCACCGGGAGAGCCTCTTCCAGTCTACCTGCGCGTGTAACTGTGGATTCCTTTTTAGGCCATGTTGAAATATGTTGAAGGTCCTTCCTCTCGCCCCTCAAGATGCAACCCCTCCGCTCTACATATCCCAAGTTTTCATTAGAATACATTGAGAAATGTTTGTTGCTAGGGGTGAGGGGGTTGAATGTTTTGGGGGAGGTGATGAATATTCTGCTGCCAGATGGGCCCCTCTAAGTGTCCTCATGATGAGACTCTGCTGCACGGGGCCTTTTTATTTCAGCTTCCAGATCCCACTGTCTTCGGGCTTTCGCCAGCCCCCAGTGATTCGATGGTGTGCGTGTGCGTCCATATTATGAGCCCGGGCTCCCCTAGTTGAGGCCCAATATTCCCTGGGTTTTATCAACTTGAAGATGTTTTTTCGTTTGCAGAGAAGACCAGGTTGGGTCCACTCCTGGGTGTATGTGCTCCAAACTCAAGAAGATCTTTGTCTACCGCCTCGCAAAGGAGCATACTCACAAGAAACTCTTAACCCTCAACCCTCTACTGTCCTTTTAACACTTAGTAGGGGCCCCCCTATAAGCCACAATGCAGCCCATGTTTTTGGCCAATGCCCACCGGCAGAGAGCAGCGTCATCGCTAAGCCAGCCAGCTGTTCGGTGGACCCACTGGCAATTATAGCCTCCACCTTGGTCTCTTTTGGATTGCACGGCCCAAAACTAGGGGTAGCTTTTTGGGGGTCTCATATCAAGGACTATAGTATTTTGGGGGTCTATATTGGGGTCCCCCATTTATGGAAACTAACATATGAGTCTTAAACTATTCGCATGGAATATGTGGTAGTCTCCTTAAATAGGAGGACCCCAGTGTATAGACCACAAAATACTATAGTCCGTGTTATAGGGACCCGCCAAACGGTACCCCTAATTTTGGGAAACCTGCATGTATGTTTTCAAGGTCACAGCCTCTAATTGGTAGTAGCCTGACTAGCAGGATTTCAGAAGCAGAGATGGCCTCCTACAAGACAGTGGACAAATCTTACGCAAAGGCTCCAGTTGCCCTGGAAGCCAAAGCCATTCTCAGAGTTCTTAACAACTCTAGACTACCTTCCGTCATTCCGTTGAATATTTTTCTGACATGCTACTATACACAGGAGGATATGGTCCTGGTCTATGGTAGAGACTATAGTACCCCCATTAAAGGTAGCGAGATAATAGTCAATTGTTGTTGACTCTCAAGCCCAGAAACGTCTTTTTCCTCGTCGTCTGGAGGGCCCTGCAGGGCAAAAGCAGCGGCATCACCGACGTTCACGGTGGCATGCAGCCAATTCTTCCTGGGTGGCTCTGTCATGCTTAAAATTCAGGCTCACGGTTTAGGTTTAGTTACAGAGTTTGGGCTCTAGATGTACGAGCATGAAGCAGAAACTTGAAAACCCAAAGCTCCAACAACCTTGCACTCCTAAATCTCAAAACGGAAAAATGCTAGACACCGTAAAGCCCCAAACTCCCAAACCTGACCCCCTAAACCTCCTAAACCCCATATACACCTATATGACCCTGATAATTCCCATTCTAGCCCCTATATTCCCTGATAGACCACCTTTAAAGGTGCTCACTTGCAAAAAAAAACTTACATGCACCAACCTCACAAGTTGAAACCAAATGTAGAAGCCCAAATGGTTGTATAGGTGATATAGGGATTAGGGGTTCATTTTAAGGGTTTAGGGTTTTAAGTCTTTAAGGTTAAGGGTCGGAGTTTGTAGGGTTAGGGTTTATTTTTTTGTGTGTTTTCGGTTTAGGGTTTAAGTTTTTAGGGCTCAGTATTGTATAGGATATGTAGGGTTATGTAAGGGTAATGGAGAAGAAAATGGTAGCTACTAGTCATGGTTTCGGTGTATATAGGGTTGGAACGAAAAAAGGCCAACATTGTTCCCTCAGAATCCTTATACAACTATAGCATAATATGCCCCGTACACCAAGCCCCATTCCAATGATTTACACCTCTGAGTTAACCTAAGCCTGTATAAGTATAAGCCCTATATAAGCCAGATCCATTTGATTCTCCACCAATCTACGAATCATCTAGGCAACCCTCAACCCCATGCCCTCGCACAACTCCACATCTGGCTTCGGGAGGTACAGCGCAGTACCAGCATCCTGCAGACATTGCAACAGCCCAGGGGGTTGTTGAGACGATGCCTGGCTGCATGGTTCATGGAAACCCTAAATAATAGTAATAATTATAAGAATATTATAATAATATTCTTCGAAATTATAGTAATAATAAACCCCACACCCTAAGGCTTGCGCTAGGTTCTAGGGATTCGTGGGGAGTATGTCAGCAACCTAAGCCTCGGTAACTTCGGGTACTTTGGGAGCCTAAACCTCTGGGGATCTCTGGGGTTTGCAAAGGCTCTTTTAGGTCAATTGCCATACTGTAGTGCCCTTTTCGAACCACTTTAGCCCTTGTATTGCCAGGTTCGTGCAAGGGGTTTGGATAGCTGGGTCTCCGATACAGGGTAGCCGGTGTTGAGAGTTTAGGATTTACGGGTCTGCGCAAACGTTACGCGGTGAATGCTGCTTCGAGACCTAGCATGCTTTTCTTCTTAGTCTTGTTGAAGGTATGGAAAGGAACAAGATCTTGTGGTGCTCACGTTCTGCACGGTTTTCCTTGCAAAAATCTACTCAGCAAAACTCCCAAACGCTCCTAATTGTCAAGCAAGCGACGGCGTCGGATGTGTCATCGTTTTCACTTGAAGCACACGAAGCCGCATCTGCTGGCATTTTTGGGGAAGCATGACATCCTGAAGTTACAAAGCTGTCCGCGATGCGCTTTAGCCGAATGCCATGCGCATGAACTGGGTCAAGCAATTCAGGGGCAAGGACTGCAGCGGGCGGAGCTATGAACCACAGTTTTTGTCCAGTAAGCAATGCCAAGAAAGTTGCACCATGTGCATGGAGTCCCAAGCCTGCGCCATCTCCACCCAAGGAAAACACTCGCTTGGTGTTCTGACCTTGGAGAGAGGTAGGCGTTCCCTTAAAACGAAGGCTTTGTCCAATCCCAGCTTGGTGGTCGAAGGCGAAAGAGAAGTTCGTGCTGGAGTGGTGTGCCATTTCTGCGACAAAGTCGGCCAGTGCCTGTGTGCTTTCCGCATTTCCCTCACTCAGAACGTGATATGAGGGATGTGCCACTTGGAGCTGCGTCTTCCCATACTTTCGCACCACCCAGGACAAGTTCTGGAAGCTCTTCAGCTGCTTGGGAGTCGCTGCGTCGCGCAGCACGGCAGGGGCATCCTCTGAGACGTCCACCCCAAAGAGATCCTGGCATTTCGCCGGCGCTGCTTCCAGGATGGACCGTCCCAGCTCGCCTGGCGGGGACCTGGGTGATGCTTACTTAGCAGGAGTTGACAGCCCTGGCGAACGGCATCTGCATGATGCGAAAAACTTATGTCTCTGCGGCAGTGCATTTCTGAAAACAAGAACCAAGTCTTGCAAAACATCAGGCTGGCATCCATCCCAATGTGTCTGCTGCTTCCGGCAATTTTGCTGGGGAAGCGCCTTCCTTGGGCAATGCTAAGTCTTGTATGATGTAGAAAGATCTCTTATTTCAAATTATGGTTCCCCATTTACAGGACTACAGCATTTTGGGGCATACAAGAGACGCGCAGTTCTGGAACCCCATCTGTAAATCAGCTAACGTTCGCCCGAATCAACTCCTCAAACAAAAGCTATGCCAATGCCTGCAGACCTGAAGTTTTTGAGATGACAACGGGCTATTCTATTGCCCTCGTTAGGTGTCACAGAATGTTGCTAGATACCAGGGGGGACAACACCTCCAACGTGGTTGATTTCAAGCAAGTTAAAGACGGTAAGGACATCACTGCCTGAAACAAAGCGTCCACAGTGCTGGCGAACCACCTGGGCAAGTTGGATTCCGGGTTTCCACAAAGGGGCACGTGTAGAATCTTCAAAATCAAAAAGCCCTAGCCAACTATGACCTCGCCACGTCAAAGAGCCCAGAGCGACAGAGTGGAGAACACTCACAACACCGAGTGCCAGCATTGCAGCCAGCAACGAATCTGATTCCGCTTGTATGTTTCCGAGGCCTATATCTTATAGAACCCAATTATAGTAGCTTTTCTTTTCCATCACACCTATATGAACCCAGTAGTCGCTTCAAACCTCTCAACCTACCAAGGAACCCGCTGACAACTAAAGCTTAGCTTCCTGCTCGGCCTACAAAAGCACACCAACATGCAAATCTGTTTTCAGCACCTTGCGCGATTTAGGGATAACAAAGGAAGTGACAATTAATTTTTGAGCCGATATGGCGGAATCCTACCTAGTCTAGCCTGAACAATAGTGCTGCGGCGGGCAGAAACGGCAGATCATGACTTTGATGACCAAGCTAAGCTTGTAGTAGCCCGGTAGGTCTTAGTAGGTGTGGCATGGCTCTGTCATATGTTTTCTTGATGGACGGATGTGGTTAGAGCATTGAGAAACACTGAAGCAAGGCGTAGCAAAAATCCGGTTGAATATCATCTGTTTTCATCATTGCATGAGTGGTCGCGCAGTTGCAACTAGCTTCATACTCATGATTTCCATTTTCTGGCTTTCCATTTCTCTGGCTCCCCTGACCATATCATCCGATGTGGCGTTGGCGTCGTTTTTGGTTTCATGCTGTATTTTGCATCTTGGCTAGCGCATGTATAGCGGGACTGCTGTTGGGATCCATCACCACGCGCCCCCCATTGACTTACTGGTTCTTAGTAGGGAATAAGGGAATATGTTTATATAGGGATTATATAGGGGGTATCTTTCTACATTCCCTATTCAGAACCAGGAAGTTAAGTTCAACGTCTTATTCCGGAACTGTAGAGCAGGTGAAGCTGCGAAATTGGAACCATTCAGAACCTGGTATATGGAGGGCTTCAGAAAATCAGGGTATCCCCCTTTTGGGAGAGGGGTCGGCGGGGGTGGGGTGGGGGCGTTCTGCCAGTGGAGGTTATCATGCATCTTGGGGGGTTACATACATGGGCGGACCCTTGTTTTCTTTTTGAAGCTCTGATATCTGATTAACAGAGTGCAACTTCCCATGAAGTTGCATACAAGTCCTAAGCGGTAATTCCTGTGCAGGAGTCCTCATTTAGCACACATGCGGCAGCAACTTTCTGTCTCCATTAGGTGATCCTCCACCCATGAAAAGCGCTTAGGTCTTCAAGTGTAGGTCAGCTCCGCGCCTGGCTGAAAAGGCACACCTAGCATCCACCCCATACTACAGGGAGGTCCACGGGTAGTCATAAACAGGCTGAAATTACCCAAGCTAAGTTTATGATCATTCTTCTAGTACCGCTTCTAAACACCCCTTTACCTTTCAAGCAGACCCTGACCTCGATGAGGTTGCCAATTTCCAGGATTCCAAAGAGGGCCCAGGTCACAAAGGCGACCTGTCAGCTGCGACCAAACTGAGCTGAGATTTCTAATAACGGTAGTAACAATAGTAGGGTAAATAACAGTAATAGTAGTACTAACTGTAGTGATAGTAGTAATAACAGAAGCAATAATAATAACAATAATAATGTGCATACATGCCATGGCATAAGGACTCCGTTGGCGAAGATTTCTCTGAATCCTTGTGCCGCAGCTGATTAAAAGGCCCAAGCTGCCTGTTGGGAACCTGGGGGGTGCTTTCTAGGTGGTATCCTGGGTTGGCCCTAAAACCCTTTGAACCATTTTGATATATAGGGTCCCCCTATTAAAGCCAGTAGGGAAAATGTCAAATATCCCAGGGGCCTACCCAGTATCCTTGTTTTCTTCTTATAGCGTGCATGCCATAAACAGAAGGAGATCACACATCGGGGACAACAATACCCTAATTGAAAATGCTGTTCAGATGAACGAGCCCTTACCCCCAATGGCAGAGGATCCTTTCTTGCAGTTGCCACATCTCTAGTCTGCAAGGGCCTCAGGTCACATCAGCAGAAGTCCCTGTACAGAGCACCTCTCTCATGGGGGCCCTTGGACTTTAGGAGGTCTTTGTTTTGAGCTATAGAGTTTAAACAATTGTCCTGGACTCTTCAGGCAGAATGTTGCAGAACGTGCTACCTCTTCGTGAACGCAGCCATCATGTTCCAAGCACGAGCGAAACTTTACAAAAAGGCAGCCTGAATAACAACACCCCGTTTTGCAATTCTCTCCGAGAAGCTGCATATGAAAGTGCAAGTCTCATCCCCGCAACATCTTATCACTGAATCATGTTGAAAAGACCCGTATGGTGGCAATACAGAAAACAGCAACCGTGGTGACGCTAATTGAAAAGCCGTGGCAAGTTAAGCTGTCTGCTGCACTCAGATGCTGGCACAGGGTCCAGTGAGCCATCGGTAGCTAGACACGAGGGCGAACGGCAGAGTCAACCTTGGAGGCACCCGGTTCAGCGTGTCTGAATATTATAGAGATAATGGAAAAGAAAATGGAAACGACTGTATAGTATATTGGGGACCATCATTGGGATAGTGGAAAAGAAAATAGAAACTAGTGCCGTATAGGGTCTACTTAAACCTCCACCGAGAAGCTTCGACTTTACTTCTACAATGTCCCCTTCTTCTATGCAGCTTCGCTGGCGGCTTTACTTTTGCATGCAGAAAATCACGTGCCGTTCAACTAAGGAGCTAAGGTGTGAAGACTTAAGGCTGTTTTTTTTGACTCCGGGTCTGCAGGGGTAGCATCAAGGGCTTAGTGAAACCACGTTTGGCATTCAGAATTTCCAACTCCAACACCTTTGTTGCAATTTAATACGTAACTTAGCAAGGAGTCCCCTTCTGACCTAGGGAGAGTGTTCCCAAACCTGGTTAACCCTAAGCCCTAAACCTCAAACCCTAAACCCCAAACCCTAATCCCTAAATCCTAGACCCTATAGCCAAGAATTTCCACAGAGCATATACTAGAATATTATGGGAATAATGGAAAAGAAAATGGAAACTACTATATAGTATATTGGGGACTATTATTGGGATGATGGAAAAGAAAATTGAAACTAGTATAGTACAGGGTCTAGGGTTAGGGGTGTTGCTGTTAAGGACCTTACATTAAGTTGCCGTACTATGGGTATATAGGGTTTAGGGCTTAGAAGATTTCATTAAGTTATCATATTGTGGGTTTATAGGCTTCAAGGTTTAGGAACTTAATTCAAGCCACAATATTATGGGTATATTGTATATAGGGTTCAGTGTTTAGGAACGAAATTAAGTTTAATAGGGTCTCCTTATATAGCAACTTAATCCCAGTTCTTTAGCAGCAACCCAGTACAACAAATGGACATTAAATTGAAATTGTGAACACCAAGAATGGAGAATCAGGTGAAAAATCAAATGGAAGCTACTTTATATAGGGTCTTAAAAAGGTTACATGGTAGTTTTAGTAAGCTGGCTTATAGGCCGTGAGTTGAAAGGGTGTGGTCGTGGGACGAACCACCAACCCTTCTTCAGCAACCCCACGGGCTAAGTAGAATCTTGCATGAGGATGGGGTAGGTACGCATTAGGGTACTATTAGGGGTTATATTGGGGTTATATTGGGATAATGGAAAATACAATGGAAACTACTATTTAGGGTTTAGGGAACCCTAAACCCTAACACGTGAAATAAGAATTTGTTCCTTGAGGGGGGGTTGGTAATTATTCCCATGGTTTGGGGTTCAGGGTGTAATCTTTACCCCTCAATTGAAAGCATAAGTCATATCGGTGGCAGTGTGGTATGAATGGGTAGAGGGGCACCGTGGCACCGGTCTTTTGAGATTGAATATAATTGTGTACTAGTCAGAATGTCAAGGCTTTTGAGAGGTTAAAGAGATGGTAGCAGCAAGGGAAGCGGCTTGATCCATGAATTCCAGCTGCTCTCAGAGGGCTATGCGTGGGGAATACACCGATGCAGCATAGGTTGCTATTGAAGCATAGGGATTAGTTGCAGTCAGATTACGCTGATACTATCAACCCCTGACTTTCGGAATGCCTGCGGAATGGCGGTGTTGTGAACCCTAAACCCTACATCCTAAACCCCTAAACCCTAAACCCCGGTTGCCCATCTGCCGGAATAGTTGTCCTGCAAACTTCACACTCGCAACTCCCCTCCTATGTATTCCTGGAAGACCCATATCCCAATAGAAGTCCCATGAATCCCCATATAACCCTAACCCTGAACCCTAAAACCTGATCCCTGAGACCTAAAACCGTCATCCGAGGTCAACATACAAGAAACCTTGAACGCTGCATCCAAAGCCCCTAAGCCCCAAACTCGCAGCGGCATCATGCCACTTCAATGAATCGGGATACTGAACTCTGAACCCTAAACCCTCACAAATCCGCCCCAAGTCCTTACATAAACTTTGAATCCTAACCCTACGACTCTACGACCCTAAACCCTTAGCCCCAATTAAAACGCCCCAAACCCTCTGACCCACCCTACGGCCCTACGACCCATCTTTTGACCCTAACCCTCTGAACTTCAGCAGCTATGACTTAGACCACATTACCCTAGGAAGAGGAAAGGTTCGGTCTGTGCGGTACCAACCAACCCCCCCTTATTGGGTTGGTGGTTGCTGTTCAAATGTCCGGAGAGGGAACTACTGGTGAAACTCAGCTCGGAAATCGCTAGTGAACGGGGTAGGTCGTGGCGACGGGGGAAGAGAAACGTCGACAGAGAAGTTGCGGCGATTGGGTAGAATATGTTGCGAATGGCCTGGGCAACCAAAGACGGGTTGAGGAGCATAGGCCGGACAGGGAAAGAGATAGTTAAGTTGCTGAAGGTAGGCTTAGGTTGGGCAACTGGACAGAGGCCATAGGCGTCATTTCCTGCCTTGACTGGAGGTGGTTGAAGGTTCGCGGAAACAAGTTAAGGGCATCTCCTAAGATAGGCCTTGGAAGGA